CTTACAGCACCTGGAATTCCCAAGTCGTAACCCATCTAGGTACTGACCAGGCTCAAAGTTGCTTAACTTTGGTGACCGTACGGGAACCGGTGCTTCAAACTGATATGATCAGTCATGTATTGAATTGCCTAAGCGTGTATCACACATGACTGACTGCGTTACTTTTACCTATAATGGCGACATTGTTTTAAAACATATAAAAGCACTCCAGCGACAGAAATAATTTACACATAGGGAATATCCATGAATGAATCGGCTGAATGATTTACCAATAACAATAATTATGAGATTAGTCAGTACAACATTTGGTATGATAATGATTCATATGGAAATTGTCAATTATATCTCCCCAAGGAGACAAGGGTCATTAAAAAAACAGATATTGAACAGCAATTAACACATCTATATTGAATTTTTGTATAATTGCTTGCAAATTTCTATTTTCGTAACCAAAATGTCGTTTCTCTTAGCATATGTCCTCACCTTCACCCAAGATCACGATAGAAGTAACATTTTTTTTAAATTCGGAAAATTCAATTTGATTTACAGTATTATAACAATGTTACAGTGGATTCATTTTACAGCTTTCTTTTTATTTTTTCTCTATGTGAAACAAGTTTCATTTTCTAGTAGTGCAAATCAAGAGCGGTAACAAACTGGAAATTGAGATAATCGAGAATTTAGAAGTCGTTATATCAGTGAATCAAAAGACAAGTCAATTGACCAGACGATAGAAAGCGAAAAAAAAAAAAATTAAAACTTCAATATGAACTACATAAATATTTAGTATCACTACAAAAGGCAATTTCATTGGTCTAGCTATATATCAAGCATGGAAGATCACTAAATTCTAAAGAACCGTATGTTTGTCAATGAAACAGCGAGGCTCTGCTAAGAAAAATATACAGATATTTTCTAAAACAGATCCTCGTCTGCTGCGGAGACAACCACTAAAAATAGCGTAATGGAGGCTGCTGACAAGCTTTCTTGGAGCTACAAGATTTTTCTGGATGTCTGGACCTAGTGAAAAAACCTGGTGTCTTAGTACAAAAGTAGTACCGTGAATATGGCGATATTTCAGACATCAATTCCGCTCCTGTTCGCAATGAAATCTATTCTCTCCTCTCTCAAAATATATATATATATATATATATATATATATATATATAGAGAGAGAGAGAGAGAGAGATGTGTGTGTGTGTGTGTGCGCGCGCACTATAAATATCACATGACAAGATAGAACAAAATATCGCAAAACATACATGATTCGGAATGATGACTATCAATATTCCAAACATGCGTGATTTCCTGTCCTAGGAAATCACGCATGTTTGGAATATTGACGCAACATAATCATTTTACACGAAAACTCACGGGGATAAAATGGGTCCATCGAGAGAGCATTCGAACTCACTAGACTTTTAAAATCTACAACACGGCTTGTTAATTAACCAATGCACTATGCTAGATTTAATGTTATGCTAATCATTCTTGTGTTTAGAGATACTGAATACAATATATTTCGTTCAAATATAATGAAAAACGAGATCTTGCGTTTAGATATATTGAATACGAGATCTTGCACTTATATATATGGAATACGCTATTTTGCCTTTAGATACATTTAATACTAGATATTGCGTTTAGATATATTAAATACGCTATATTGCGTTTAGATATATTTAATACGAGACGTTGCGTTTAGATATATTGCATACGCTATCTTGCGTTCAGATATATTTAAAACGAGATCTTGCGTCTATATATTTAATACAGGATATTGCGTTTAGACATATTGAATACGGGATCTTGCGTTCAGATATATTTAAAACGAGATCTTGCGTGTATATATTTAATACAGGATATTGCGTTTAGACATATTGCATACGGGATCTTGCGTTTACATATATTGAATATGAGATTTTGTTTCTCATTAGATAACTGAAATATCTAAAAAATTTATGAATAGTTGCCAGAAAAAGAAAAAAAATGATGTGGCAAATATCTAGCGGATTTGTATTATTTCCACAACTCTGATGGCATTTTTATAATATGCAAAATAAATTTACGAATTCACAGCAAAATCTTTTCATCGAACATCTGATTTGTAGTTTACACGTTTGTAAATGTTTAACAGTAGTTTATTTTGAAAAGTACTGCAAAGTTTTAGATTTAAAAGTGTGTGAAATGTGTCACTTCTGTAGAAGTCTGATCCAGTTTGTAATTTATAGCAGACATATATACTCCGTTTATCAAGCAATAAACCTCTTCTATGTTAAAGAGAAAGAGTGAAATTACTCTCGTTTGAAATGAAAATGTTAACCCCTTTATATTTATCTAATATCGAACTGTCAGACGAACAATGATTCAGTAGTGTATGTACTTGACTCATGTGTTCGGTGATTACTAACTTCTTTTAAATTAACAACCTATCAGGAAGTTCACCAGGAGCCATCTCAATACAATCAAAGGAACCAAGGCAACTAAATTAATCGTCAATTGCTCCCAGCAAGACTACTCGATTCAGTTTTACACAAGAAATCGTTATCAGCAAGGCTGTCGATATGGTGTTAACCATTTTACTATCAAACATTCTGTCACCTTTTCCTGTTTACTCTCTGCCTTAGATTCACAGCATCAAATTTAGGTAAAACCCATGCAAAGAAAATATTATTTCCTATTTGGAGTGAAGGCAAAACACTCAATCATCAAACGATAAAAAATGTTTCTGAGTAGGAGGATTCTCGCATCCTTCCGGTTAAAAAATTAATCCTTTCAAAATAAATATTTAACATTTTTCAGCCAATGGGTCGCGTTCCCGCCGACAATAACAAACATGCTTTGTGATACATTTGAAGAATATTTAAGTAAAGTCTCTAGGTAGTAGGATAAAGAGCAACATGCGACGACAGTTTACGAACCATGGCTTAACAGAGATTCCTTTACTCATTCAACCGTCTTCCTCACCGAGCTACGTGACACTTGTACTCTTCCTCACTAAGCTGCGTGAAATTCAACACCCTTCCTCACTAAGCTACGTGACACTTACCGTGTTTCTCACCGCGCTACATGGCACGTACGCTCTTCCTTGTCAAGCTACGTGACACTTACACTCTTCCTCGTCAAGCTACGAGACATTTACACCCTTCCTCACCAAGCTACGTGACACTTACGCTTTCTTCCTCACTTTCTCTCTTGCCTCACTTTTTTACATGTACACGCGGAGAAATCGCATTTTTTCACTTTAAAAAGCAGCTACTAACAAAACTTATAAAAACACGAAAATAAAAATATTTTATATTCAAAAACTTTTCTTGCCTTTTTCTTTGTTGTGGGTTGATTCAAATCTGCAACATCCATTGCCTGATGTGAACGTTAATAACTAATAATGATTAGTGTTGCGCCCAAGTAACTAGCAACCTTAAGTGATCGTTTGCTTGATTTTACATTCTCTATTCACATATTCCAAATTCAGGTTATATAATATCCTTGCTTATATTAACATGTTTTATAATCTTTACAGGTTTACACGCGTAAATGTACACAATGTACGGATGTTGGCATTTTAACTGATATTTCGTTAATCTTTTACAACCATTCAAGCCTGCACGTATTACTTATATGCGAGGCAATTCAAATATCACTCTTCCTTCAGTAGTAGCCAAAGTTGTCTAACTTTGATGAATTTTCAAAAGATGATTCTTTTAACCTTGTCTAAATCAATTATGTTCGTAGTAGAGAGAATTACAGTTTCAGCAAAGAATGTACTTTCTTCTGTCATTCATCAGAAGAAAGAATCCACAGTTGGCACGCTGCGGGGATAAGGGATTTACAAAGCTTTTAACTGATCTGGCAATATACGATTATCGTTCGTAGTTTAAGACAATATTTGCCTCTAAAAGCGATCCAGAGTTCTGATTTTTGGTACCGTTTCTCTTTAAGGAAATCATCGCGTGTTTCATCTCAGTCAAAGTTTATAGAAATAAAACAGAATGCACATTATTTTACAGATTGTTTCTGAGAGATTTTGCAACCTCATTCTTCACCCAACATATTCATATCTACTTCAGTTTGTTCATCTTTATGGACCTTCATCTATTCATTCTTTATCTTTAACTAAAGCTACAACGTCTAATCTGACGAGAGAAAATCTTGTCCACAAAGCTGAATATTAGTTGTAATTACTGATAATAGGAATGTTACTTTATATCCTGACAGCTAGTGTATTTCAGCAGCGTAATAAGTGTCCAATATTCTATAGCCATGATATCCACATCATTGGCCATAATGTTCATGTTAGGAATTTTCTTCTTTTAGTGTAGTGAATCCTTTAACAAAGTACATATAAAGTTATTATCTGAACAAATTATATAACGAATTCCTCAAGGAATATTGATACCACAGACATTGAATAACCCTCTATCTTGAGTGGCTCATGAAATTTGTATTGGGTGAACATTATTAAAAATATTCATATATATATATGAAGAAATTTTGAAAAAAACAAACAAAAATCCTTAAATGTAGTTAAAATGAAAGAAACGTCAGACGTCGACATTTCTTTCATTTTAACTACATTTAAGGATTTTTGTTTGTTTTTTCAAAATTTCTTCATTCTGTCGGATTTATATCCATTTACACTTGCTTATATATATATATATATATATATATATATATATTATTTTTTTTTCTCAAAGGGCCGTGGAGATGTACTCTGTCTCGTCACTTCTTTTTGTGAGTATATATATCTAAATATGTCTAAATATGTCTGGATGCTTATGTATTATAATCTGATTGTGTTTGTGCTGTTTTACGCGTGATTTTACGACTCACACTTGGGATTAAAATGTATACATATATATTGTCGGAGGACCGGATGGAGTAATGTCTTATTCTAACGTAATTTCAACGAAGAAATGAATTGAATAACATATGTATTTCCCCTTTTCTCCTCGGTAATTTTATAATTTTAAACTTAATAGTGATTAAATTTGGATTTTAAATTGGCAGTTTTAATTTTAATATCAAATTCTATCATATAATTTAATAATTATTGGTTAGAATAAATTCTTTTTTTTAATTTTACCCGTATTTTAACGATCTGAATAGC